CTTTAGCAATTGTGTCTTTAATGTGCGATGAAAAAAAGAGGAGGAAGCGAAAGAGGAGAATATGGACTTGGTCATGGCTAGAGAAAAGAGGCCAACTTGGCAGGGCGATTTTGCAAATGGATCTCGAGGAAAGTAGTTTTAAGCTTTAGCGCCATGTCGCGTTGATCAATGTGCCATTTCATGTTGCATTTTTATTGGTTAGTCAGTAAACGTAGGTGATAGCAGCAAACACACTGTGAGATGATCTTGCTAAACTTCTGCCACGGTCAGAAAATGATCGCAGGATATCTTTGACATGACAACGGCCGTCTCTGAACCTCTCTCGCTGTACGACGTAGGAACACCGTTTAGGAGCCACAACCACAGAAATCACCACGATTAGTCATCTTTCGTCTGGGACTGGCCACAATCATACAATGTGTACCGGGCATTATTGATTTAAATGAATCGGCACACTCGGATCTTTTCATATTTATAAGCAGGGTGTTTTAAGCATTATATTTTGCACTAGGGATTGGAACAAACATCTAAACAAAAGTGTTAAACTCGACCTGTCTTGTTGTGCTACCAACATTGTTGGGGTGTGGTTTTACTTTTCTAAGCAATCAGATGTTTGAAAAAAACCCAATATATTTACATTGAAGGAAGGACCACAATATACTGTAATAGAGACTTGGAAGGCTCCTTTACCCTAGACCAGTAAGAAACAGCTTAGCAACACCCTAGCAACCACCCAGATAGGGAATTTTAATAGGATTGCAAGAAATACAGTTCGAATTTGGAACAAATCAAAATTATCCAGTAAGAATTTTTTCTTCGCATTTTTTTCATTCTTAAAGTATTATTATTTGACGTTCTGGTCCCAAATTCTGACAGAAATTCCATCACTCCTGTACACATTACTTTAATATTTTTGACGTGTGAACGTACCTGATGGCGAATCGTCTAATCATATCAAAGTCAGAGACAAAAATATCCACCCACAACAGCTGTGCAAATATGCAATACAAACAGCATGCTGATGCACTGACAGTGAAGTCTTTTCATTTAAGATCTTTTAAATGGATCACTGCAACAACAAAAAAAGCAGGCAAATCTTTTTTTTTCTTTTTTTTTTACTTTCTCTTCCCCTGATGTCAGCGTAGATGCTGTGTGAACTGTGATGACACAGTAAGAGGGTATTAAGACCAACAACAGGCCAACGGAACGAGAATTAAAACCCAAACATACATACAGCAGCATAAAAACATAATACACCCTCATAGATCTGCACACACACACACACACACACACAGAGATCAAACATTCCATATAGACACACACGCAAAATCCATTTTAGCAAAATCCTTTGTCTGCTTGAAAGATATGATACAATAGAATAGGGGGGATAAAGGGACGGAAGGATGGATGGTTTAAGGTGGAGATAATGCCTGCGCAGACAAAAGGATGCTGGCCTAAACACACACACACACACACATACATCCACACCATTTGAGCCAGGATCACATTTCAAAAGCTCTCCAAAGGCAACTTTTGGGCAGGACACCAAATAGCTGTTAAGAGCCCCTCCTTAACCAACACGTGAGAGACAGCTAATAAAGACCATGTTTATGTGGCTAAAGAAAACAGTAGCTTCCTTTCATTTCACCTCCTTTTCTTCTTTCATTCATGCGCTCATGTGAGAATCGGTTCACAGGGACGTAACTTCGGTCATGTGGTTTGGGCGAGATTCGTTTAATCTGACCTACAATGCACTGTGAGTACAAACAAGATCAAGAGGCTTTAGGACAAAAGCTCTTAAAGAACAGATTTGGGACCATTGTTGAAGGAATGTTTCAATACTAATTACAGCATCTGTGACATACTGTCAATTACCACAGACAATCATTTTGACCCTTTTTTTTAAGTTAAAATTGTGTATTTCACTTCCAAGCAAAGTTTGTGGAGCAAGGCAATAAAGTGGTGCAGGGATGACGTCAAAACCTGGAAGTCTAATTCGGCCGCTGGTTCCTTTGAGATTTTCCTATTGGGCTTTATAATGGGGTTTTTCAATTTATGAGTAAAATAAGGTCTGTGGTGAACATAACCTGATACTTTGACGTTTTGTTCTGCAACATACATTGCACACACTCACACCCCAAGCTTTCTTATCTAGTCACTTATTAGAAATATACGTTTTCACAATGGGTGAGTGTAATTTACGTTAAATATTGACTGTGTCAGCATCTATTTTTTGCCAACATGGATAAACCACAGTGTTACATTGCTGACAATGTGCAAATTCAATGTCATGTCAAAATGTCAAGTGCGAAACCGGTTAAGACATTAATGGTGTGTAAAATAATGGTGTAATAATTATTGGTGTAAAATAAATACCAGTAAATTGACTACCGCAAGCCTTAGTAAGGGTGTGTTCACACTTGTAGTTCGGTTCGCTTGGTTCGTTTGGTCCGGACCAAAAAAAAAAACATTTAGTCTTGGTCCGCTTAGCATTCACATTGGCATTTTAACACTGAACATAAAGATCCCAAACCTAAAGGCATAGGGATACAACCTGATTGGTCGCCTTTTATGCCTGTGCCAAACTGTGATGAGCAACATCACGCCTAGAACGAGAAAAAATTGGCATAATGTAAGGGTTAAACAACTTCATAGCTTAAATAACACAATTAAAATAAGGATTATTGCACACAAGCTTCACATTTCTGCTTTTAAACCCTCCAGACTGCATGTCCCCACAGACCACATTATACGTGCACTGAGTTTTTACATGCTTTATAAACTGATGGACCAAGTGAAAACGAAGATGAAATGCGATGGAAAAGCTGCTCATCTCTCAGCGATTAAACGTAAAAGAACAGAAAGAAAGAATAAAACAGTCAATGGTGTTGACAGACTGGTCAAGCATGGAATCGCTTCTGCTGATAACAGGAAACACACACATTGAGACAAAACACACACTCCCTTCAACCCCTGCATGTCAATCCGAGCGAAACAGAACCAGAAATGACTCTCTTTTTATCGCCTCTGCTCTTTCACGCTCTCCATTGCTATTTTTTCAGACATGCACGTGCGGTTAGAAACCGTGAGTGAGGCTTGTGGGTCTAGCATTTCTAATCCATCTGTATGCATGAATGAGTGACACGCATTTGTCCATGCACTTAATGCATTGGTGCTCCCTTAGGTAGCAGGGAAACAGCCCAGTCCTCCCGCTGCATGCTGGGATTGGTTGAGAGCTGTAGGGTGTGTGAAACAGGGCGAGAGGGGGTTAACCCAACATCTGTGCCTCTCCAGATCTAATGAAGCTTTATATGAGCAGTGACACAAACATGCTTTATGTGAATCAGAAACCAGTGCTATTCTGGAAACATTTTTATTACAGCCTGTATGAAATGAAACCTCGCCAAGTAATAACTGTACTGTACCAGGAGAATGATACGGCAATATCTGTGCAATAGAAGATATTAAAGCAAACAATCAGCTCTCTCAAGTGTAATTCAGTTGTCTAATCAAACGCAAATATAAGCGGCCTCTATATAAACCGCTTGTGTACTCACTCACATATCAGACTTTCTCTTAGGGTGGCGTAGAAAAACGTTTTTAAACAATATTCTGTGCACAGAATACAACACGGATTAAAACAAGCCGTTTTAATTGGATAAAAAAAAAACACGTTTGAGAAACAATGATAACTTTCCTTGAGGGGGGCTTTATGATTATGCAATTTGTTTCTATGTACAGAACATCCTATTTTGGGCACAAACTGTACTTTTAAGTTACTGAATCACACGTGTGGCAGGAGAGAGAATTAGGAAAAGACATTTAATACAAAGAAGTGCAGGTTAAAGTGAGGCACGGTCTTGCTGTCCGTTTCAGCACCAGGCTGAGCGCTGCAGATATAGCTACTATATGATTATGTACAATTGCCTGGGGCCAAGGGGAAAACATGTATTTCTCACGATTACACCAATGCCCTCGAGATTACTGAGAGCATGTGTGTGAATATTTTCATTTATCACGCAAGTTGTCAGGTAGACTTTATGTTTATGTCCAGCTGTGAACCCATGAACTCTATCTGACATTCCCTTCAGCGATTTGAGCGCAATGTCATTGTCAACATGATGGGCACAAATACATCTGGAAAATAAAAATTAAAAAAACACCTGCACCAATTATCAACTCTCTGACCTAAACTTGCACATGGCATTCAGAAAAAATATAAACAGCATCACAGGGTGCAGCAAAAAAAGTTATATAGTAGTACAGTGTAGTATAGGATATTATAATACCCTGTAATAGAATAAGCATTTACTATACGGCTTTTTACACGTTACATGTAGTTAATGTAGTAATAACTATAAATTATAAATAATTGCATGCAAGTAACCCTAAACCAAACCCCTATATAGTAAGTAGGCTACATGTATTATTTATTATTACTACTCAGTACGTACATGTATAATTACACTGTAACATGGTCACCTTAAAATAAAGTGTAATCATAAATAGCTACTAGGCTACAGTAAAAAAAATATAGTCTAAAGTACACAGTAAAAAAAAAAAAGCTAAAATTGAAAAAGTTTTAACAACTCTTCATTTAACTACTGATGACGAAATCCAAGTTACAACTTTGGCAAATTGCAGAAAAAAAATCTTAAATAAAAGACCATGTTAAAATATTATGTTATTAGCTTTTAAAGTTTTAGTCCTATACTTTAGTACAGGACATTAGTAAATAGCACTGTAAATGTTGTGTAAACAGTGTAATGTAAATAGTTAATTTATAGTATAGTATTAGGCTATAGTACACCAAAATATTAGTCTTCAGTCCTGTATAGTCTAGAATAATACAGTAAACGTCAAAAGTCATAAATATTGTCTGTATACTGTAACGCCACCCTGTAAATAAACGGATCATAGTTTGCATGTGGCTGCAGTATGAATCAAATAATAATTGAACTGGTTTACTGGACGTAGTAAATAACACGCAGCGAGCTTACCGTCCACAGCCATAGTCGGTATATACGCGTATCTCTCCGTGATGGCTTTAGTAGGAGTCTGCCATGCTCAAGCTCACGGGTGTCCTGTCCGGTAGAAGAGAGAGCCGTGGCTCCTGAACGACACCTCCAGTCCGAGCGCAAAGATCTGCTGTGGAGCAGGAGATATCCACATATAAACCCGAGAGAGAGAGAGAGAGAGAAAGAGAGAGAGAGAGAGAGAGAGAGAGAAAGAGAGGGGGGGGGGATGACAGTCGTTCAGCTCCCAGCGCATCGGGCAAGTTTAAACCCCTCCCTCTGCTGCTCACCTTAGTGCTGGACGCACTCACACACAGCGAGCTATTCACTGATTACACAAGTGGCTGTGGTGATGAAGAATGACAGCATGCAGCCAGTGCAATAAAACACGCGTGTCATTTAAACTACATCCCGCGCGTGCACGAGGGTGTGGGGTCAGTGGGGAACATATGGGCAAACGCGTGAGAGGGCGCTTGACAAAATAAACTTATGCAAAGCACACCATTATGAGACTGCGTTTGCCCCGTGCACCAGCAGGGGGTGATTAATTGATTAACACTTTCATTAGTAATGTGGTAGCTGGGTCATTCTACGAAAATGGTGGCTTTCCTGTCCCGGCCTTAACCACCAGGAAAAACACTTAAAAATGTCAGATAATGACACCAAATATATGTTTTATGTTTTAATTGAAGTGTTTTATTGTTAATAAAACATTTGTAAGACAGTTATATTGCAAACCATTTTTTAATATATTGTAGAACACGGTCAGTACCATGAAATTGGCTTGTCCCTCTGGTCAGGAGTCGTGGTTTAGTGACGTATTTTGATTTAAAAAATATATTTTTCTCCGCCTTTAAATGTCATAATACAAAGGAAAGTAGTATATTTATTTAGTGGACTACTTAAAAAACTAAAATATTAACTAAATATTATAAATAATTTACAGGGAATAGCTGTCCCTCAATTTCATGTCACTGGTGTTACAATTTATAAAAACCACTACTTTGAAATAATGCAACATCCTTGCCAACTTCTTTCTGGGTCAAAGGTTAATTTGGAGGAGGGGCTGTTTTGAAAAGCACATGGTCAGTTTGCACTCTCTCTTCATCTTTTAGCAATTTGATAAATCATTTGATAATTTCATGCGAGGACTTAAGATGTGTCACTGGTGTTCTACAGATTATAGTAAGGGAAAAGGAAATTTGATTAAAATAATTGTTCAAATTGCATGATTAAGTAATTTATTTGCAATTTAAGAAGTGTGGTTTTGAGCTACGGTGGTAGCCATCTTAGATATGTTATCTTGTCTGCAGATTTGTCACTGGTGTTATCGTCACTGGTGTTACTGTTACTGCTGGTAACACCAGTGACATGACGATAACACCAGTGACAATCAATAACACCACTAACGTTTTTCTCAACATAAGGTTTCATAAAAGCCTCAACAATAAATATTACTAATAAATTGATAAAAATTTGTTTGAAATAATCTTATGTTATGTCATTGGTTTCACATTGCGTCACTGGTGTTACTGCATGGGATATTGGTGTTCTGGCATCAGAGTAGCCCAGTTTTATAGAATATGGTTTTTGTATCTACCTAACTGTTGCTGCGCTCATTAGTAAGCATTTTAAGGATATGATCGTACAATTTTGATCACTCAACCTCAATTATTTCTAATGTTACAACAAAAAACACAATGGTAGAAATAAAAAAATGTCACACAATAGAACTTTACACATACCTGGTTAAAGCAAATTATTACTAATCAAGACAATTTCTTAATATTACATTAACTTTTTCTTTCTTTGATTATGTATGCAAATAAAATGGTCAAATTACATTCTGGAAAGCCTGAATTGTCATCTAAAATATAGGTAACACCAGTGACAAAAAGGTAGCTCAAGCATTTTTTTATGTAATGTAGTAAAAATATAAAAATACATTAAGCTGTCATTTAAGTTGATTTATAATGTTAAGAGGTTAACTATTAGCTGACTATAAGTTTTGGTATAAAAAAAGAATTACATTTTTTAAAAGTTGTCTGTTCAAAAAGCCACCATTTTCATAGAATGACCCAGCTATAGCCTACTAACAAATAGGCCTGTTGCTTGTATATATATATACAATATAACGGCTTGGATTCTTTGCAGTCTTTCAAATGAAAGACTGCAAAGAATCCAAGCCATTACCAAAAAACAATTTGTCCTAAAGGCATTTTAAAGCTGTCGGGACGGATTTCGCGGGAAATTGCAGGTGTCATTAACCCGTGCATCGCTTCCGTACACAGAGTGTGTAAAGTCACTCACAACAAACCAGAAAAATTATGGGGAATCGCCATTTGTAAAAACAAACCAAACGTTATTTATTTGTCCATCTGCTCTAATTAGATCCACTTGTACAGTATCCACATTCATCCGCGCAGAGGAGCAGAGCCGAAGCACAACCAAAAAATGGTCGTCCGCTAAAGGGTCAAAAGTTAGTGTAACTTTACCGATTCGTTAATACAGACCCAGGGACCCCAAACCAGATTCTCAAGAAATCCAGTCAGCAATTTAAAAAGGTTACATTTTTATCAATAACACTTTATAAAAACCTAACTTTATATAATGTAGGCCTAATTATGTTAATATTTTAATTCATGTTTAGAATCATTCAAATTGAGTAGGCTATGGAAGTTAATCCATTTGCCTTGGATAAAACTAAGCATCTGCTAAATTAATAGTATGGAAATCTATCTATCTATCTATCTATCTATCTATCTATCTATCTATCTATCTATCTATCTATCTATCTATCTATCTATCTATCTATCTATCTATCTATCTGTCAATCTGTCTGTCTGTCCATCCATCCATCTAGATTCTAGATTATACATTAATAAATTATAGTTAAATATTATATATTGACCGATAGGTCTATTGTTCACTAAAAAATTCTGTCAGCATTTTCTAATCTTCATGACATTCTAAATCTGTATGACTTTCTTTCTTTTTTCGGAACACAACATAAATGTAATTATAGCATTTACTTCAGTTAGTAATTTCATTAACAACCAAATATGTTTTCATTCAAACTCTATTCACCGTACATTTAAATTATTCTATAAATTATCATCATATAATTTATTTCAAATAATTATGTTAATACATCCACTGTATTGTTAATGTCATATGTTCATTTATGGACCAGGTTTAGGTGAAACGACACAGAAAAACAAATTACTTAAACAGTTAAAAGGTTGAGAAGTGCTGACTCCACTTAAAGCTTTACAACTTGTCCACAGCGTGACTGTCGTCTGGGTCACTACACACTCTTGTGCACTCTGACTCCCCCATTCTTGCAGTTTCACTAGGATAAGTGCCATATCTGTTCTTTAGAAAAGGAAGAAAAGCCTGTTAAGTGCTGCCGTCACGCCTCAGGGCAACACTTGCTTGTCGTGAAGCTGTGGAGGAGGAAGGATCTGAGGAGAGCGTGTAGTCAAGAACATCAGCGCGTCGGAGAGGTCTTCAGTGGCCCGTTCTACAAAGAAATCTTCCAGACGATCAACAGAACAAGAGATGCCGCTGCACCAAACGTCAGAGAAGATGTCTGCTTAAATGAGCTGTATTCATTTACTGTCATAAATAACACTGATTGCCTTCACAGTATGAGCAGAGAAGAAGGTGTTTGGTGAAGAGGGTTTCTGAAGTTTTAAGAGGTGTGGGAGAGAGTCTCTCTCTGTAGGGCAAACATGCAACGCTACAAAGCAGCAGCTACAGCTTTTCTTCACTTCACAAGGCTGCTGTTGTTGATGTTGCACAGATCAACATGAAAGTTTTGAGCTTTTTGACGGATTTTAGATTTCAGATCTCAGATCTTTGTTGAGTTTCTGCAAAAGCAAGCATTGTGGAGTACTTACAAAGCACTAAATGGTTTAACTCCCCAGTACTTGAGCGAGCTCTTAACGCATTATAGTCCTTCACGCCTATTGCGTTCTCGAAATTCCGGCCAGTTGATAATACCTAGAATATCAAAATCGACTGCTGGCGGTAGATCCTTTTCCTATTTAGCACCAAAACTCTGGAACAATCTTCCTAACATTGTCCGGGAAGCAGACACACTCTGTCAGTTCAAATCTAGACTAAAAACACTTCTCTTTGGCCTAGCATACACATAACACACTATAGACTTCCTTAATTCAAAATTAGGCTGCATAGTTTAGACTAGCCGGAACCGGGAACACGTCCCGTAAATCCTGATGTACTTGGTACATCGTAAGAAGGATGGCGTCTATGCTAATATTAGTCTCTCTGTTTATCCCGAGGGACCGTCTATGGTGGACCTGCGCCTGAACCCATCCCAACTCATCCTGAAGTGCCGGCCTCATCAGCCCTGTGATGGCCTCATCGACACGACAGCCATGGGCACTGATCCTCAACAACTCGTCTCCATCCCGGCGTGATTACTTCGACTTCCAACCAGACGGAAATGGATAAATACTCTAAATGTTCCTATCAAATCTGACTTGTAACGCTGCCCGAATCGTACACTGGTCTTTCGTTGGCCAGAGGAGAACTGGCCCCCGACTGAGTCTGGGTTCTCCCAAGGTTTTGTTCTCCATTCTGTCCCTGATGGAGGTTTGGTTCCTTGCCACTGTTGCCTTGGCTTTTGGCTTGCTTAGTTGGGGACATTTAATATTCAACAATATTATTGATCTGCCTTACTTAAGGTGGACGTTGATGCAATTTTCTTCTAGAAACAAACTTTGTTGTATTATTTTCATGTTATCACTGTGAAGCTGCTTTGATACAATCTGTATTGTAAAAAGCGCTATACAAATAAAGGTGACTTGACTTGATTTGAGTAAGGCTGTTTGCAAAGACAATGTCACAATTAAAATTGCTTGTAAATTAAGATTAGCCTTTTTTGAAGAAACCACTGAATATTTCTGGTTTGTGCTACAGGTGTGAATCATACCTAAAATCATGTGAATTGTCTGTCTGTCACTGCTTTGCTGCCATCACTGCTGCTGCTTCTCCTACAACAGACACAACAAGCTGCTTCTTTGGCCTTTGCCTTGATACTGTGGGTTACAACATCCCTATGCCCGTGGACACTGCCTGCTAGTGGTCTACATGTGTAATTGCACGTCGATACGGACAACTACGCAGAAGTATAACTGAAAACCGACGC